CTCTATTACTTGACGTTTACGAACGAATTCACTGTCGAGGGGTGCAATGATTCGACGAATGTCATTGATGTCTAAGCCGCAAAAGGCTGTGCTGTTGAACTTACTGGAATGGACGGCAACACATCTAAAGGTAAACCGAATCAAGCCGATTTGGGGGAAGGAATCTCCTGGTACTACCAGTCACCTTAAACAGATTAGTGATATTTTTTGAGTCCTGTAAATGCCGGTATCCTGGCGCACGGAAAACCCCTAGAACTCGCCGTTTGCGAAAGATTTTCGTGTGGGAATGCAGTGATTCAACGGACGGCGTCGTTGTCGTAGCTGGTAAATTAACGCTAGATTTGTTGAATTAAGTAGGCAGCAATCCCGGATCTCATATGGCGTCCTTACACAAATAAACAACGGAGTAAAAAGTAAGCAGCGAGATTCGCCTCTTGAAATATACCATCTCGAGAAATGTTGATTAAAAATTCTGGAAAGTGTTTTCATTTCAAAGAGATTACTTAAGAATGGTTTGCATACTAATCATCTTGTTGCTAACAGATTTCAGTTACGTCAGGATGCCGGTTTTCGAATGGGTTCCTCATCAATCACCTACATAACCTGTGTTCCATAAGTAAAGACTACTTAAGTAGCATCAATTATTCCCGTTGATTTTTAATGCCATTAAAAAATCAAATACGTTTTAAAGAAAACACATAAGAGATATACTTTGCTTTTTTGAAGCAGATTATGTCTTCTCAAAAGTGTATGTTTAAAAAAGAGGCAGCTATTGGTTTTAAAAATCTTTTTTAATTCCCCGAATAAATTTGAATCCACCTGACGTTGCACTTGCATGTGGAGATTTGAAACACAAGCTGCATTCCCTTTGGGCAAAGAAAATCATATATTTATATACGTTACCATGAAGAGGGTATACGGGACTCACAAATGTTATAATGGATGTGAACCGCGTTGTCCACTTTATAAGCAACATTAGTGAGCATGCTGATGGTAATTCGTGTGCACACCGGATAGGAGATGTAACTTTCGATGCAAATAAGCTTCAAAATGCTTCAATCCAGAGGGGGCTCTGGCCCCACCCAGCCCCTTCCCAGCCCCGCCTGTGAAGGGGCCATGTGCTGGCAGGGATGTTTAACAATTCTAGAAAGTGTTGTCATTTCAAAGAGATTACTTAAGAATGATTTGAACATTAATCATCCTGCTGCATAATGATAACAGATTTAAGTCACGTCATCCACCGTCTACATAACCTCAGCTCCGTAAGTGAAGCGTACTTAAGTAGCATAAATTATTCCCGTTGATTTTTGATGCTTTTTAAAATTCAAATATGTTTTAGAGGCAACACATGAGAGATATACTTTCTTTTACATTTCTGGAAGCAAATTACGTCTTCTCCGAAATGTATATTTAAAGAAGAGGCAGTTATTGATTTAAAAAAATATTTTGTTGAGTTCCCGAATAAATTTGAACCCACCCGACGTTACGCTTGCATTCGGAGTTTTGAAACACAAGCTGCATTCTCTTTGAGCAAAGAAAATCATATATTTTTATACGTTACTATGAAGAGGGTATACAGGACTCACAAATGTTGTAATGGATGTGAACCGCGTTGTCCAGTTTATAAGCAACATTAGTAAATGTCCTGATACGATGATGGTAATTCATGAGCACTAATTAACCGAGTTGTAACACCGGATAGGAGATGTAACACTGTATTCAGACTAGGCAGTTTTAGTGCACTAAAAGTTTGGTATAAGTGGAGCTCAAGGAAGCAATATTGTAAGTATTGATCATCGGGATCTGCAGATGGATAACAAGGAGGGGATCGCATATTGGCCCTCACCAAAAATTGTCCGCCTTGACCATCCGAACGGTCATTTTTGCGGAGGTCAGCTGTTTATCAGACTGGACTGCACGAAAATAGGCAAATTGGGCGCAGTAATTAAAAGAAAAAAATTCTTTTTCTGATTTTGAACCTTTGCGTCTTTTGTTATTTTTAACCACATGCCGATCAATTTCTGCTGCAGTCTGCTTGACAGCATATTGTGTTCATTCAGGTTACTCGTGCTCCGAAAATGCGCTCTGCGTGTGTGCTGGGTGTGACTGGGTGCGAGGACGATCACCGATCGTTCTTTCGGAGCTCACTCGTTCCGTTGTGCCTTACGGGCTCTCTCTCTCGAGCCCAACCAGCAGCCGCACAGCGGCGCATGATAAATAGGCAGAATGGTATTGCCGACAAAGACAAGGGAGACTGGAATGGCCATTTCTGGCTTATTAGCCGTCGTCAGCCAGCCATACCCAAGCCCGAAGTGTGGAACACCCGAGCCTCGAACTCGCGACCTGTTGGTTTAGAAGTCAACGCCTCTACTCACCGGGCCACGAGCCCGTTGCCTTGTCGGTTTTCGATCGGGAATATACAATGTTAGGGGGCGCTCACCGATCGTTCATACGGAACTCACTCGTTCCGTTGTGCCTTAAGAGCTCTCTCTCGAGCCCAACCAGCAGCCGCACAGCGGCGCATGATATATAGGCGCAGCAGTTAGTGACCCAACTCATTAAATGTGTCGAAATTTACGAATGACTGCCAATCACTGGCAAACCGACACAATTTCACGAATCTATGTTAATTAAGTACAAGTTTAAAAGAATTTAAAACAGAAATAAAATATTAAAGGCAGCGTTGCGTTATTTAGAAATTCCGACTTAGACGAAGGAATCTCTATCTGCGTTTTTACTGTACTTTAGGGCTGCAAATCGCAGAGATACGCTAATTTGGCTTTTAAAAATTGATAAAACCTCTGGTTTGCTTAAAATAACCTTTGTGTTTGCAAGTTGATTACCACGGTTAGCACCGGACATAAAGTAAATTTTCAAATCCGGCTAAATCTGTTTACTAAGACTCTTGCGGATAAATTATTATCCTTTCACTGAAAAGTCGCTCAGATGCGTAACCGGAGTCTAGAACATGCATTAGCACAGACAATTGCACGAATACATTCCAGCGTCCGTTTTCGCTAAAATTTACGTGACCTACGGCACTCTCACACATGTTCGATGTACGCAGCTCAACACCCGTTGAGTGAAATGGCCATTCCAGTCTCCCCTGGCTTTGTCGGTTATAGCATAAGGTCAAACAAATTGTGTCAGAAGACGCAAATAAATAACCCGAGCCATCTACCTAATAGTTCTA